GAAATTTTTACTTTTTTTTTGAAACCTAAGGTAAATCAACGGGAACAAATACACTTTACTATCCCCCTCAAAATTTTCAATTTTTTTTTTTTTGGAACATCGAACATACTTATATTAACTATTTAAGAATGATGGTGCAATCAGAATTTGTCGGTCAGACTTAGTTTCGAAGTTATGGGATTTAGAAATTGGCAATTTGCATTTTTTACGCATGAGCGCAACGCTGCGTTTATCACTTCTTTTAATTTTTTTTCATGAAACTTGCGTATATTAATGAGTTAAGAACGATGGTGGTTTCAGAATTCATTGGTCGGACTTAGTTTCGAAATAGTCAATTTTTGAAATTTTGTATTTTTACGCATACCCATAACGCTATACTTAAAGTATAGGCAGCAAGTTTGAGTCTGACAAGTTACAATTAGAGTCACTCCCTACGCCTGCCGGCTCCTGTCACCAAAGTTTGGTTAGGTTAGGTTAATCTAACCAAACTCGAGGTCCGGAGGCTCGGGCCCCAAACCCCCGGGAATGGAAATAGCCAACCTTGGGGGAGGGGGGGAAGGAGACCCCTTCTGGGTCGCTGGAAGGAGAGCATCCCTGCCCTTCGGGCAGACGAATAACCTAACAAGTGAACTCCGCAAATCGAAAATATCCCGTCACGCGCCTGAGTAAAAAACCGAAAATCGTGAACTTCGTAAGTCTATAACTTCAAAACTAATGGTTTCCGCAAATTTATTTTTACACCATCGTTTAATACTCGTTAAGATACATAGGTTTCCGAAAAAAAAAAATCGAAGAATTCGAGTGGCCGCTAAACTAGACTTATGCCATAGTTAGATAAGCAAAGATCATTAAAGAATTAATAAAAACTTACAAGTTACAACTGTTACAAGGATATATTTATTTTTTAAACAGTAGTAAAGTACCTAACGAATAACGATGATCACTGGACTGGTTGTAGTGGACACTGATGACTGATGTATTAATATTTCTTAGAATGGATCATAGATGGCGTTAAAATCGCACTTCAACCAGATGCGTTACATCACGATTGAAGATATTATACTGTTCTATGATATACAGGTTGCACCATAGAGTAATATTACTCTATGGGTTGCACATCGACTACTGATAAGGTAATATACGATATCAAGATCTATTGCAATAATCACAGATGCCTATAGTATCATAGAACAGTATAATAATATAGACATCTGTGTGGTTTCCAGTCCTGTTTATCCAGTCCGTGTCACGTGTCCGAATCTATTCTGTTTTCGGGCGGCACGGCGAGCTGGTGACAATATTCTGGTGTCCATTCCAAATTTCCAAATTCCAATAATTCGAATACTATCGATTAAATCAAAACCATCGAATAGTTCAAATGGTCCGGACTATCGAATAATTCGATATTACCCATCACTAGTCGTATCAGGACCGAAAGAAGTTTCATTAAAAAAATAAAAACCGCCAAAAGACCTAAAGATCGATATTTGATTTGACCTAATGGCGAATACGGAATAGGTATTTTTASATTTTTAGTACATCATTCGGTATTTCGGTCGCGATCCGGTCACTCGACAGCTTCATACTTTCATAGATACTAATAATATACTATATTCGTTCATTTTGATTCATTCAGTCGCGAACTCGCGACCATCGCAACTCTACGTTGAAGTAAATATGGATACTCAGAAAACATTGGATAGTTTCATCAAAAGTAGAAAAAGGCCAACCAACGAAGATGGTTTGCATAAAAAGGAACTATTGAACAATACTTTTGGATTAAACAAACCAACTAGAAAATTGTCATTTGATTCTACCTTACAGCAAACTGCTAAAAAGCAAAAGGTTAGTCAACTATATTAGTATAAGTATGGTAATATTGATACCTATATTATTATATTCCTTTATTTTAATGGAGATCGTATTATTTACATATGACATGCAATTAATCAAAGTATTTTTTTTGAAAATAATTGGCTTTATTTGAARAATTWCAATCTATACAGTATGTACAAYAAGTAATATTAATAATTTACAACAGTTGACAATGAATAGTCRCATGAGGAGGAAATCCCACATTTGTGACACCTCTTATACATTTATAAGTTTTCACTTAAGTTTTCAAATCACGGCATCATTTCCTCTTGAGGCGTCTGGTTAGGTTACCTGAAAGTGTTAGTGAAGCTAACTCTTTGATTAGTTGGTTGGGAATATTTTGAAGTTTGGCGTGGAAGCATTTGTAGTAGATAGCAGCTGTATTGTCGATGGAAGGTAATTTGAGGTCAGAGTTTAGGGTCTCGTTCGAAACGAAYCAGGGTGCACCAGTGATTAAACGAATAGTGATGTTTTGAAAATCAAAGTATTATATAGTAAATGTATCATTTATTTATGTTTGATTGAATTTGAATACACTGAAATAAATTATTTTTATTTAAGAAAATATTTCTTCTATTATAGAATAATTTACTTATACACTATAATCTGGTTTAATTTTAGTAATCCCTAACTTAACGAATAGCTGTTATAATGGACAAAATAATAAAGTCCTGGCAAAACAATAAATATTTTAATTTGTCTTATAACAGACATAGACAGTAATGTTTCACACTAGGGGCATAATAATGAACTATAATTACACAGTAAAACTGAAAAAACTATATTTTACTCCATTATATTGTACATGTCCACCCAATTGTTTTAATATCGCCTGCAAACGATAATGTTTAATATAGATGAAAGAATATTCTATTTAAATGAATTATCAAACAATACACCTATATCTCAAAATTGATTTAATCAAAATTTATATGATAAACTACAAGTATTTCCCTRTGTTAAAAATAAATTTAAATAGGTACTCATAACTTATTTACAAAACTTTTATTACTAATATACAAATWAATTTGGCTGTAAAAATACTAAATTCTTTCTATAATGGACACTTTTTATGGTCCTGTGATTGTCTGTTACAGGCATGTGGCATTGTAATAATATAATGTATGATAAAATTGTGCAAAAATGCAATATATTTTTACTACTTATTTGATAGTAAGATTTTATTTCTTACTAACAAATCATTAGCCATGAAATAATAATTGATAGAAATTATTGTAATTCTAGAGACTTAGAATCATACACTAAAAATAAATTATCTTCTATATAATACAAGATTACGTACACATAGCAAAACGTACCTTTGTCATGTGATATATTAAGTATTATAATATTATGGTAAAAACCTATGTAGTTTAAGCTACCTTAGCCATCAAAGTTCAAGCTTTTATCCATTCTAAGATAAAACCAATACATTTTCTACGCTTAAATTTTAAAAGACATTGKGCCTACCAAAATAATTGTCTATATACTTGTATCTCATAGCATTTATAATTTGTCAACCTATCAATTAACATTATTATTTATTATTTAAATTATTTTTAGGTTGATTCTGGTACAATACAACTAATTGGCCAAAATAATTTAAATTCTTCTATTGTTAAAAACACTAAAGTTGCTGAAAACATTTTGGAGAGAAAAGAGACTGAAGATAAAAATGATGTCCGTTCAGAGAGAGCAACAACYCCGGATCAATCACCATCAACTAAGGCCAAATTACGTAAAGTATGTTTATCAATAGTTGTGTTAACTGAGTGTGAAAAATAACTAAATAAACAATTAAATTCCCATTAATTGTATTTGTTTTAAAACTAACAATTATTATTTATTTCTATAACTGCTAATAAGTTAAAAGGGTTTCTTTCATCTTTATGATACATATAAGTGTAATGAAGATACAAAGATAATCTTATTATTAACTTTGACTATTCTTCATGCCTGATAAAAACAAATCTAATAAAACAATAAAAATAATTAAATTTGTTTTTTATCCAATCAATTATTATAAGCTCACATTTATTGAATAAATTTAGGAATTGGATTTGGGTGAATTTCGTAAAATTGTTCGTCGTAAACACAACCTTAAGAAATTACAAGAAAAGATCAACTCAGTTGAACAATCACAAATTGATCTTAACTTTGCAAAATCTAAAGTAGATGCTGCCAAAAGCCATTATTTATCTTCGTTTAAATCAGTTGATCTCATGGTTGATACCAGCCCAGTAAAAGTTGGATCAAGTCCAATAAAACGATCTCAACTTAAACCTACAGCCTTATTTCTCACTCCAGCCCAATCTATGGTTAGTCCAAGGAAAGGAATGATGACCTCTCAGATGACACAGGCCAAAGAATATGTTTCGCCTAGAAAGTTATTAGATGAAGTAGGATCTCTTTTGGCTATGTCACCATCAAAACGATATGCTGC